CAGACATTTTAAAATCACATATTGAATTACTGTCATTCTAAATGCTTCTGTTCTACAAAACCTAAGTGTTCTTTAAAAAAACACAGCATCTTTATTTCTGGCCTGTCATGCAGATAAAATGAAGAAACTCCCTTCAAGTTATTCGTCTATAAACATTCAGTTCACATGACATGTGACTCTCTTTTGGATTTTCTCAAATTTGCATAGTTGTTTGAATTAGTAAATACAAAATATTACTATTGGCGTCATTTATTTTTGCTAAAGTTTGAGATAATGTATCTTTTACATTTACTTTATCTTTTGTTCCTGCACATGTGAAAAACATTGGCTAGAACCCTGTTGGCATTCAGGTAAGGTTTGTGTAAATTTTAGTTGCTAAGTGATGAAGTGCCTGTTGCATCTCAGTCACATGCCAAATTATACAACTGTGTGCCCCACACCTTGTCATTTAGCAGCCGCAAGTTATGCAGACCTTAGTTGAAAAACAATAGGAGTCCAACAATTATCATTCATTTTTAAAAGACTCTTGTTTCATATTAAGTTTTATTCTACAGCTAAATGAGTTTGAAGTTTCAAATTTATAGGAGAAAAACTAGTCTGTATTTTATTTTTTTAATTTTTGTTTGATTTTTATCTGATATGCTTGCACAGACGAACATGGCTACCTCTTTTAAGTCAACAATATTTATGAGTGATACATCTATTTTGATGTTGGAGATATACCTATCAATCTTAAGGGCTGTTCTTTTCTGAGTCTTCATATGTTGACAGTCTAGCCAATGGTAGTGAACGCAACCCTAGAAGGCCGAACATGCAGCTGGATTCCTTGTAGCACAGCACTAAGAATACTGCTACAAAATGTAAACCTACTTAATTGTTTTGTGAATTTGCAACAGAATGTGTCGTTTTACTTAGTTTGAACTATTTACTGAAAGAGCCACAAAAATAGGGTAAACTGTTGGAGGTATCCCTTCAGTCACTTCAGAAGATAAGTTATACAACAAGACTGCATTGTTTCTCATGTTATAGAAAAGCAAGAATGTGTTGAGCAAGAATTGGGAGAAATGAAAGGTGGTAGAAAGCTGAATGTAGATGATCACTAAACAAACAAATCACCAAATAGAGTCAGGAGAAAATCTTTGTCCCAAAAAGGTTAATGGAGAAGAGGCTTTTCATAACCAATTAGGTGTACTTTGTAAAACATGTACAGGTAATTGACAATTTATGCTGTCTGTCATAAGTAATGATAGACTATTAAACTGTTACTGTATCCCTAAAGGAGAAAGTAGAATTAGTGGATTCTGTGAGTAAACATGTACTCAAGCCAAGCAACTGTTACAGACCCAAGGAGAGACCTTAGGAGACATGATGTCTGTTCACTTTGACAATCTATTCCTTGCAGTGAGCTGAGATTTTCCTAGCTGTCCCCAGTTAATTTTTATAAGCATGTTGACTATATTAAAAGCTGCCTTATTTATTTTATTTATTTATTTATTCGATTTTTACCCTGCCTCTCTAGACAGCATCTACTCGCTATCCTTTCCTTCTGTCGGGCCAGTTTTGTTGGCTGATGGTGTTGGAGATAGGTAGTCCCTCCATTTTAATTGGCTGGGAGCAACTGAAAATAAAAAATACTTTATTAAACTCCTTTTATATTCATCAACCTATGTCTGATTCTGGATCAAAATTGAAATAAGAGTGGTGGATCACCATCACATGAGAAGGAAACACTAGATGAGTATTTGAATCATAGAACCATGAAGTTGGAAGTGGCCTATAAGGCCATCAAGTCCAACCCTCTGCTCAATGCAGGAATACACATCAAAGGATATCTGCCAGATGGTTGTCTAAATTTATCTTGAATGCCTCCAGTGCTGGAGCACTCACCACATCTCGAGGTAATTGGTTACATTACTGTACTGCTCTAACAGTTAGGAGGTGTTTCCTGATATTCAACGAAAATCTGGCTTTCTGTAACTTGAGCCAATTGTTGTGTATCCTGCACTCAGGAATGATTGGGAACAGATTCTGCTCCTCCTCTGAATGACACAGCCTTTCTAGTATTTGAGAAGTGCTCTCATATCTCTCATACCTCAGTCTTCTTTTCTCAAGGCTAAACATGCCCAGTTCTTTCAGTCTTTCCTCATAGGGCTTGTTTTCCAGCCCGCCTACCCCTTCATCCTTGTTGCCGTCCTCTAAACTTGTTCCAGTTTGTCAGCATCCTTCTTGAAGTGCTGTGTCTAGAACTGGACACAATACTCAAAATGAGGTCTAACTAGTGCCAAATAGAGGCAAACTAATACCTTGCGGGTTCTGGAGACTATTCTTCTGTTAATGCAGCCTAAAATAGCATTTGCCTTTTTTGTAGCCACATTACACTTTTGGCTCATATTCACCTTGCGATGTATGAAGATTCCAAGATCCTTCTCGCTTTTAGTATTGCTGAGTGTAACTGTGTATCTGGTTTCTTTTTTCTAGATGCAGTACTTTGCACTTATCCCTGTTAAAGTTCATTCTGTTGTTTTCTGGCCAGTGAGCAAGCCTATCCAGATCATTCTGAATTTTGTTTCTGTCTTCCAGGGTATTAGCTAATCCACCTAATTTTGTGTCATCTGCAGATTTGATTAGCATTCCCCACACCCCTGATTCAGGTCATTAATAAAAACGTTGAAGAGTACAAGGCCCAGGACTGAGCCCTGGGGGACTCCACTTGTTACCTCCTCCTAGTTTGAGAAGGAGCCGTTAATTATCACCATCCAAGTACAGTTCTGTAGCCAACTATGTCCACCTAACAGTTGTACTATCCAGCCCACACCTAGTTAGCTTGCTAATCAGATTATCATGGGGCACTTTGTCAAAAGCTTTGCTGAAGTCAAGATATATGATGTCTATCCTTTTATTTGTATTCCTGCATCGAACAGGGGGTTGGACCTGATGGCCTTATAGGCCCCTTCCAACTTCACTATTCCATGATTCTATGAAAAGACTGAGCTAAAATAGCAATGGAACACTTCTGCCTTGTCTTGTCTTCTGATATAATTTTCCCATTTCCATTGAGTAGCTGAGCCACTCTTTTCATTGCCTTTTGCTATGCAAGTACCTGAAGAAAGCTTATTTGTTGCTTTTAGTATCTCTAGCTAGCCTCAAGTCATTCTCAGCTTTTGCCATTCTAATGCGATCCCTGCAATTCCTTGCTACTTGTCTACACTTTTCCTTTGTAGCCTGGCCTTCCTTCCACTTCCAATATGTGTCTTTTTGTTTTGTTTTCAGGTCCTCTTTGAGCTTTTTGTGAAGCCACACTGGCCTTTTTAGCTGTTTCCCACCTTTTTTTCTTGTTGGGGTTGTTTGTAGTTGTGCATTTAGAATTTCCCATTTTAGAAACTCCCACCCTTCCTTGACTCCTTATTAGGATTTCCTGCCATGAGACTTTATTTATCTGTGTCCTGAGTTTGTTACAATTGTTTTGAAAGCCAGTGTGTGGCTACACTGCTGTGGTTTCCTTTGAGAACAAGAATTCTAGTAGAACATGGCCACTCTCTTTGGCCACAGGAGGCAGAGGGCACCAGGGACAGGAGACAAGAGGGCAGCGGGGGCTGCTTTGAATTTCTCACCCCTCCCCCCTGCATTTCGTAGGTCGAAGCTCCGGCTGCAAGTCGAACTGAAATTTTGCAGCCGGAGCTTTTCGTACCTCGAAATTTCCGTAAGTAGGGACCTTCGTAAATCAAGGGTCCACTGTATTTCAAAGTACTGAAATACTGAACAACACCAGCAATCATTACGTTAGACTGCACAGGGAAGCCATTGAAATTGAAATCCACAAACATCAGCAGAACCTCAACAAAATGGAAGAAAGTTTGAAACTCAGCAAAGCTTGGCTCCCAGCAGTGAAAAATACAGCGTGCAAAAGGTCAACAAACTCTCCCCAGCCACAAGGACCAGTGATCACTACACACAAAAAACCAGCTAAGGACACCCATCAATCACAGGGACAGATAATCTCTCCTCCTTATCAGAACAATACACCCACAACAAAAGCACACTGATCACCATAATCACCCATCTCCTGAAAAGGACAAAAGCTGATCTCACAGCCATAAATACACAACTCCCAAACAAACTGCACCAGAGGACATAGTGCTGTCCTCTGAAGATACCGGCCACAGAGAGTGGCGAAACGCTAGGAAGAACAACCTTCAGAACACGGCCCATGAGCCCGAAAAACCCACAAGAACTATTAGATCCCAACCGTGAAAGCCTTCGCAAATCTTTAGCTTCGGATCCTTTCACTGCTAGTTTCTCAATTTCTGTTTCTTGATCTTCACATACAACTCCAAGTGCAACTCTGAGTGCACACTTACTTTGCCCAGAGCCACTGCCTCTGGCAGAGCCTGTGCTTTGAAATACCTATAGCGTTGGAGAAGCAAGATACACATGAGGGCTCAGCTCTTTCTTGTTTGAGGTCACCCTTTTTCCATCCTCCAACAGCCCCAGCCTTCCACTCTGGCAGAGCCTTTGCTTTGAAATACTTGTTAGAGCAAAATAAAAATTATAACTTCTTTTTATAACTCTTCAGATATTTCTGGAAAAATATTACACAGCCCAGCTTTTACATTGTTAGAAATTCAACTTGTATTTGAATAACCTTTTGACAATTTTATCGGTTGTCCTCTGTAAAATTAATGTAATAATGCAGCAGTTTTAAATCAATGAATCTATGTATCACTCAGAAATACCATGAAGAGAAATGAAGTGCATATGTGATTTAGATACTACAAAGGCTACAGAACAAATCTGGTATGTAAGGTGACATATGAAGAATTACGTTCACCAGAAAGTATCTACCTAGTTCTGTATAGTTTTATATAGTGCTTTAATGAAGATCGTAAATTTACAAAGCTTGTCTGAAGTTAGCTAGTTTATATGAAATTGTGATTTTGGTGAGCTTTCCAAATGGACCATTTTTACAGCTTTATATTAAAGAAGATGTGCTTTCATTCTAGGTCAACATGTTTGTGGAAGGATTCCATGATGCCATTGTCCTATATGTTCTGGCTTTGCGAGAAGTTCTGAAGAATGGGTTCACTAAGAAGGATGGAGAAAAGATTGTCCACCAGACATGGAACAAGACATATGAAGGTAAATTACAATCACATGTTCTACACAATTTTGTTATAACCTGGTTTTGGTGAAGTCTCCAACTCTTTTAACTATAGTAATTATGTGCTGTCAAACTAATGCTGACTTACAAGAAGACAGACAAAAATTGTCTCTGAAAAAATGCTATGAAATAACAGCTCTGAGAAGAATGGAATTAAATCTGACTTCAATATGTTGCTAGGCAACAAAAGACCAAAATGACCTTGTAAAAGAGAAATGCTGCAAGAATGCCAGGCTAGGTTGGTAAAAAAAAGATAGAAGTAGTTTTAATTTTGCAAAGATAATACACTTTATGTGTAGCGATTGCTAAGACAAGAACATTTCAGAACTGTCATAAAAGAAATGGGAAAGATAGAAGAGTTTGCACCTCTGACTAGATAAAATGTCTCTTCCCTGAGGTAGCATTAAACTTGCTTGAATTGTGAACTTTAAAGATGTTTCATGCTGACAGATTAAATATTTCTAAGCTTTTTTTTATCACAAGAACATACAGATATCAAGGCTATCAACCAGTTAAATCCAAGAAAATGGATGCTTAGGACATATCGCTTAGAAAGACACAATACAGTAATAATAAAATATTTTGTAAGTTCTTAGTAACAAGCATGTTAATTCATAAGGACAAAGAGATAAATATAATATTAGCTAGCCTATAGCTAGAAGGGCAAATAGATAAGGAATAGCTGCTGATAGCCAGTAGATATTGAAAACAAGCCTTTTTTTGCTTGAGGATAATATCATTGGTTGAAGAAATAGATAATGGTGTGACTTGCAATAAACAGACATAAATGTAGTATAAAATGAGCAGATTTAAGGCGAAGAAGAAAAAAGGAGACAGCTGATCAACTAATAGATGCATTCATTGGTTGGCTTTTTGTATATCTAGGATAAGAGCAAATACCTTTTTATAATCCATCTAATGGTATGTCGATAATTATAAAATTTTGCTTATGGCTATAAAAGAATTGTAAAAAGTGGCTAAAATATTTACTATTAGCTATCTTTGGATTAACCTTTTACTTTCTGGAAATGATCTTTTGTTACTGCATTTACAGTAGTCACTTGTTCAATAAAAAGAACGCAATAGCCTCAGCTTCACTTTTACTCAGCTCATTTTTCTGCCCCGGTTTAGAGTGGAAGTTATAGACAACTATGCAAGATGATTTCAAAACTGCTATGAATTATTTTGGGTCTCATATAGACAAAATGTCTTTGTTTGAAAGATTCAGTTTAGACTACATGAAGCTTGCCTGCAGATATTCCTGGTCCTTTGATGTCTCAAATTTATAATCTGTATTTGTTAGGAATTAAAAAGAAGCAGTACATTGGGCTGTACCTATCATTATGGCACCTAGAGATGGAAGCTTCATATTCGTCTTCTAGGGGAGATGAACACGAAGCTCGTCACCACACGTAGCCAGTTCCCCCCCCAAAAAAAACCCTGGGTATCGAATTACCACTTGCACACAAGGGTCATCTCCTTCATACTGCACCAATTGCAAACATAGCCCAGCTGGATCTTCCCCACCTCCCTGCGCTGCTGACCAGTCTGGCAAGGGAGTGGGATGACAAGCCTCCCCACTAAGCAGCTGATTGTTCAGCAGTGCAGGGAGGCAGGGAAGACCTAGCTGGGCTACGTGATTGGCATGACACAAATGATGATAGCCACACGTACTGCAAGTAGTAAGTTGACACCCAGTTCAGCAGGGAGGGTTCAACTGGACTGGCCACTTGTGTTGGCGAGCTTCATATTCGTCTCCCATGGGAGACAAATACAAAGCTCCCATCTCTAACGGCAACCCTTGCCAGGGTTTCCAGAGTATAAAGTACTCAAAGTATAAAGTCATTATTTTCTGTTGGCCCTTCAGACTGTGCAGCTTGCCAAGGCCACACTGCATGGCTCTTCTCTAGGGAGACACAATGAGGGAACGAATTCCAAAACCTCGGCTCTGCAGCCAAGTATGTACTCCAATTCACTGGGTACATCCAACCAGCTTTTTTAATATAGAGGAACATAATAAGTGATCTAGTTCCCAGATTGTATTGATTCAGATATTTGAAATAAAAAATCTGATAATTGCCTATTGATACAGTGCCATGAGTTGAATATAGTTGTATTATTTATTATTTGTAATGTTTTAAGATAAAGGAACTTGTAAAGAAAAACGAAACCTTCCTCTAAGTATCAATAAAAATCACTGAAAAACATTACAACAGTGTAATAAAATAATAAAATACTGTAATCTTAAAAATCAAACTAGCATGAAACCCGAAGGTCTTGAAAAGTTTAACTGAACAAAAATAGTCTTAATAAGACACTGAAAAGAGAGCAATGCAGGCACCAGGCAGGCTTCCCTGTGGCAGGCGATCTGCTATGGGATTCTCCCTGAAAGTGTTCTGTCTCTCATAACTGTTTACCAGACTTGGGGTTAAGGGACCACTTAGTAGAGGGAGTAAAGATTTCATCAGACCCCAGCTACCATGCTGTGTAGAACTTTGTAGATCAAACCCAGCTTGTTGAATTGGATCTGTTTTCAAAGCAAAAAAAGCATGCTGCTTATATACCACCCCATAGTGCTTCAAGCATTCTCTGAGCAGTTTACAAGTTAATTATGCAGGCTACACATTGCCCCCCCCCCAGCAAGCTGGGTACTCATTTTACCGACCTCGGAAGGATAGAAGGCTGAGTCAACCTCGAGCCAGCTACCTGGGATTGAACCCCGGGTCATGAGCACAGTTTTTGGCTGCAGTACAACGGTTTAACCACTGTGCCACAAGGCTCCTCTTTCAGATGGAAAGCCAATGCAAGAAGAAAGGAAGAGAAGTTTTATGCTGTACTGTTCACAACAAGAAAATAACGTACTATTCACTGTAAAGAAGAAAGTTAAAAGAAAAATTTTATAATGTGATCACAAAAAAGTGAGATATAAACGTATGGCCCTTAATTCTTTGTATGTAATTTTTAGTACAGAAAAGAAGCAGCTAACTTGGAAAAAGGAGATATACTATGAGAACATTTTACCACCTGCTTTAGCCCTTATCTACCACCTTATTCCTCTTGTGTTATATTTGGAAAGTTCCAAACCGCTTCTGGATATCAGGGCCTCCCTATAAAAAGATGGATGACTGTGACATGCTTTAGTTTAAAAAGAAAGTGTAGATAACATGTGCACCCTTTTTTAACATGTGGTCTCTTAAGAAATTAAATTAAATAGCCCATTAAATTTTATACACACCCACACTGTATATACTGTATATAGTGTGTATGTGTGTGTACATTTTTAAAATGCTGTCAGAAATATTCTGCACAAAGAAAGCGCTTATAATAATATAGTAGTTGTAATTTAGGTCCCTGGCTCCTGGCTCCTTCCTTGTTTTTGAAGATTGCAGCTGTTTAATTGTTTTATGTGCATATATTAGCTGAACACATTGTGTTTTTTCATTATTGTATCTGAAAACATGGTTTTATTAAAAAGTTCTTTTTCCAGTCCCTCCCCCCTTTCCCCCCTCCTTTTCAGTGGTATTATGTTTTGAAGTGCTTTTTGTATGAATATGCATGCTTGTGTTTGGAGATGTTTCAAAACCTCCATTTGATATTTCAGATTGAATGTGCCAAAATTTTATGTGTCCAGCCTGTTGATCCCTTCCCTCACTTTTCTGCAAAATTTAAAATATGTCAGTTTTAGGAGGTAACATACACATGCCTTAAACTTTAGACAGTTAACTTTACTGGTAGGAAAGTTGCTCATGTCAGGTTCATCTGTCATTTCTTACAGGGTAAGATTACCAAGATTTCCAATGGAAGTACTTAAACTAAAGGAAGTGTTTCCTTTAGATAAGAATCCAACAATGAGTTCAGAAACTGGAACAGCTATGAAAAACATAACAGGCAATTTTCTCAGCTGAGGTTTTTCTTCCTCACAGTAGCAGGGACTATTGGGTTCAAAATATGCATACTGGAGTATTTCATTAGGTTCACACATTTAAGCAAACTAACCTATGAGTTGCTCGGGGCAAATTTAATATGCAGATCAGAATGTAACTGTCTATCGTTTATATTACCCACCGAATTGTAAACAAACAAACAAATTAAATAAATAAATACCAATTCTAAAAAGTATATACACAAATGCATATTTTAGAGAGGAGTGTTACAATACAAATGTTTGTATATCTTTGAAAATGGGGGGAATAAGACACTTCAGATTTATCACTGAATACATGAAAAACTAACACTGACTGAAATGGGATGATCTGACCATCACTAGTTAGAAAGAAGGGCGTATACTGAGCAAGAAGGCTCCCTACACACTTACCCTGCATGTTAATCCACATGGAAGGGATTGTCACTCTTGAATTGGCCTTCTCAGCCACACTAGACGCTGTTCCAAGACCTCTATTCAGACCACATTACCCTAGTCTCTTGAGATTGAAGGATGCCTACACATAATCCGGGCCTTGTGCAATTTAATTTTCTCCCCAAAACTTTTTAAATTTTTAATTTTAGCATGCCAAAGGTTCTGGAATAAGAATTCATTTTCCCTCTTACTCACCCTCTGAAAAACAGACTGAGATTATTGCATATATTTTAAAATGAGAAATGTTAAGTATTTTAGAAATGTAGACACAGAGATGAAGTTACAATTTCTTTTGGAATGCCAGCAAAAGTGTTGGAAGTCTGATGATGTTTCTTTCCATATCAGTGTATAAAAAGTCTGTCTGCTCCTTAATTCTTTTGTTTTTCTTTGAAACATTTTGTATTTTGAACTTGTGTTTTAAAAAATTTCCCACATGCCATTCTTTAGGCATTGCAGGCCCAGTATCCATAGATGCCAATGGAGAAAGATTTGGGGATTTCTCTGTGATGGCAATGACTGATCCAGAAACTGGAACTCAGCAGGTAAGCATAGCCGTAGACTTGAATCTAATTGGTAGATAGGAACAAGGGCCGCAAGGGGTAATATAGAGAATAGGAAAAAAGAGAGAAACTATGCCAATGAATGCCCCAACAATCTGATTGATTTAAGTAATCACATTTACTGAAATAATAATGAATAATTAGCTCATCTAGTTTCAAAACTACTAAGTGTTCTTGAAAAATTTCCTCCAGTGACCTAGATCACCCCACTTCATCCTCGCAACTAAGAGAATCTGGCTGTCCAACAGTCACCTAGGAAATCCAGGTTTAAGTCCTCACTGTCTCATAAAAATCATTAGGTGACCTTAGGTCAGTCACTTTCCCTCAGCCTAACCTATTTATCTCACAGGGTCGTGGGAAGAAAGCCATATGCACTGGCTTGAACTCACTGACAGAAAGGCAGGATATAAAAGTAATAAACAACAAGTAAGTTTCATGTGGAGCTATGAAACACCTTCCCAACCGATATGCAGTTGTCCCTATCAGTTCTGGCCCTCAGGTAGACTTTGAGGATTTACGTCTCTAAAGCCTTCAGCTGAGATGATTTTATTTAGTTTGATTTTTGGCTTTTCCACTACTTCTTCTTCTTTTTTTTTTTAAGGCCACATTCAGACACAGACTCTCAGAGTAGAGTACTGTACACAATTGAAGATGCTTGTAAATGAAAGAACTTGAAACAAAAAAGTTTTGACATAAAGCAGCAAAACATTTATAGTTGTAGGAATTGTTAGTATTTTAAATATTACTATTGTGTGACCTGGCTTTTCAGTGTTTGCTTCATGTTTAAAATATTAATATTTATTACACTATGAATTTGCAATGATTTAGAAGAAAATGTTTTATTGAGGCAGTCCATCTCATATTTGGTCTTCGTCTTATCATGTTGCCTTCAGCTCTTCCCAGCATTATTGTCTTATTCAATAAGCCTTGTCACTTCATACTATGCCCAAAATACTATAGCCTCAGTTTATTCAAATTTGTCTTTAGAAAGGATTCAGACTTGATTTGACCTAATACCCACTTATTTGTCTTTCTGGAAGGCATGGTAGCTGTAAAGTGCTCCCTCAGCATCATATTTTGAATGGATTGATTTTCAGATTTGGTCCAAATACCCACCTGATTTATATGGGACGTGGTGGCGCTGCGGGCTAAACCACAGAAGCCTGTGCTGCAGGGTCAGAAGACCAAGCAGTCGTAAGATCGAATTCACGCGATGGAGTGAGCTCCCGTTGCTTGTCCCAGCTCCCGCCAACCTGGCGGTTCGAAAGCATGCACATGCAAGTAGATAAATAGGGACCACCTCGGTGGGAAGGTAACAGCGTTCCGTGTCTAAGTCGCACTGGCCATGTGACCACGGAAGATTGTCTTTGGACAAACACGCTGGCTCTGTGGCTTGGAAACGGAGATGAGCACCGCCCCCTAGAGTCGAACACGACTGGACAAAAATTGTCAAGGGGAACCTTTACCTTTACCTCTAATAATTATTAATTTATTCTAAACGTCACCCCATTTTAAAGCAGTTAACAATCCACAAAGGGCACCTCCTCTTTTATCTTGACTCTGGTGAAACAGTGCCTATTGGAGCATCCATGTCTATATGCTTGCTGGCACTCTTAAAGAACTATGGAAAGATTTACTGACACAGGGCATCAGTTTGCAGAATCCATACAGATTCTTTTTCAGCACGGCTTGTCTTTCTATATGCTTGATCATTTTACCTTTAAAAAAGCTGTCAAACAATTTATCTACAATACATATTCAGCTAAAAGCCTCCATTTTTTGGATTTCCCTAGTTCTCCTCTTGAAAATTAGAGCTATACTGCCCACTTTCCAGCCTTCTGACACAAGGATAAGTTTTTGGGACTTGTTTGTTTGTATATTTGTTTGAAGATTAGCATTGTAATGTTAAGAATTCTCAGACTGATAACATCTAGTGGACCGAATGATATGTTTGTCTTCAGTTTGCGAACAAGATCTGAATGTCATCTGTTTTCACATTATGTCACAAGTCCCCAGACTGCTTCTGTGATGAAGACAGATAAAAAGAACTCATGCAGCTTCTCTAAAATGTCCTTTTCCTCCTTCAGTACTCCTTCTTTACCATTTGGTAACGATGTAAATTGTAATCAGTGCCAGATTTTGGTCCATATTATTTCGTCTTGATCCCTGCCTGCCGCCCATACTGTGCAGTCGAACACCTGGGTAGACTCGAGGGGTGGGGGAGTAGCCATTGTCTATAAAAACACTCTAGAGGTTGTTAGGCACTCCGCAGTGGAGACACCATGTCTCTTTTAAAAAAATTTTTTTAATTCTATAACTATAACATAAACAAAAACATATAACATATAAACTAAAATACAGTTTAACTGTGTTCCCCACCACCGTATGTGGGACCTCTTGCCATAATCTTCCTGTTATTGTTCTTGTTCTCCTATTGTCCTCTTCTCCAAAACTGCATTGATTCTTGATTTGGAGCTTTCTCTTTTCCTCTTATTAAGGCATATTCCAAAAATTTACCCCATATTTCATAAAAAATGTTTTTAGCTCTCCTTTAAATTACAAGTTAATTTATCATTTATTGCTATATTCCATATTTCTTTGTGCCATTCTTCAATTTGCAATTCAACTTTTAATTTCCATTACCTAGCTATAATCAAGCTGCTGTTAATAAATTGGTTATCAATCTTTAGTCATTTTGTCATATTCCATATTCTCATATATTGATAACTAAGCAATCTCAGCATTAAATTCTATATCTTTTTCACATATATAGCTTAATTCTTTAAAAAATTGTTTCCAAAATTTTTGCACTTTTTCACATTCCCACCACATATGAAAGTATGTACCAATTTCTTTCTCACATTTCCAACAGACATTCGGATGACTGGCATTAATTTTATTTAATTTTAACGGTGTTAAATACCATCTTAAACTGAGTTTAAAATTTTTCCCTTATTCTCACTGACATAAATCTTAACACCCTCATTTTCTATATCTTCCTCCATTCATTTATTCTTTTTCATCTATTCTTTACCTGTAGCCCAGTTATCTCTCCAAGAAACCGGGCTTTCTCAGCAGTGGCCCCTCAGGAACAATCTCCCCCCAGAAATTTGTCTGGCTCCCTCGCTGGGTGTTTTTCAGAGGAAACTCTGAACCTGGATCTTCAGGGAGGCCTTCTCAATACCTAACTTATTTCACCATCTTCAATTGTATTAATATTGTTGTTGTTTTTTTTAAAAAAAAAATATTACTACTTGGAGTGTTGTTAGCTGCCCAAAGTAGACTTTGGTCTAGATGAGAGGGGTATAAATTAAAGTAACAAATAATCTTTACAAAAAACTCATCATTGTCAATCAATTTCTGGACACAATTCAAAGTGTTGGTTCCAACATGCCAAGCCCTAAATGGCTTAGAATTAATGGCTTAGCTTTTGAGCTTGCTGAATGAGATGCCAAGATTTGTTGGCACTGCCCTTCTTAGGGATTGGGATGTAAATGTATCTTTTCCAGTCCTCTGGCCACTGTTGAGTTTTCAAAACTTGCTGGCATATTGAATGTAGCACCTTAACAGCGTCATCCTTTAAGATTTTAAATAGTTCAACTCGAATGCCATCACCTCCACTGGCCTTGTTGTTAGCCATGCTTTCTAAGGCCCAGTTGACTTCAAAATACATTTTGGATTTCAGCCTATTGAACTGTAAGAACAGTGAACTGATTTAATTTGATGTATACCAATCTGTTTGTACGAATGGACTATTCGTGTATGCTTGAAGATCTTTTGTAATATTGTGGTGGCTATGACTATACACTATGGTGACTGAGTGATAAAATGGAAGCTGTCAGAAGGTAATTGTGAACAAGATTGAAGGTCCAAAAGTCATCTGAGGAAAGCTGAAAGGGACAATATGTTAAGCCAAGGTCTATAAAAATGAGGATATTCAGGAGAGATCATATTGACCCTCAGTCTCTGCAGATGTTCATGTACAGATCTTTTCTAGGACAGGAAATCCAACGATTGTATGACTAGTGTTTTTGTATATCTAGTATATCCTTTCTGTTTCCTTTTAAAAGCCTTTCTCATGTCTGATTCTGGTTTCTTTTCCTTTTGCATTTATGGACATCATTCATTTTGCTGCAATTGCCTTTGTCCCGATTAATAAAGCTGACCTCTCTTTGATGATGGTGGCAATGTTTGTTTATGTGGTAGTTTCCTTTCCACTGGTCATGACCATGTAAGTTCCTAAATGGTATGAATCCAAAGTAATGTTGTCCAGCAAATTGTTATCTGAAGGTTGGTTGTTTAGAACACGAAGGGCTTTAAAAAAGATAACAACCAAAAATGAAAATTAAACAAACATATTTTAGAAGAATGTAAGAGACAGCTGCAGGAAAAACAAAGCAATTTGGGACCACACACATACACAAAAGAGATACACCGACATTGCAGTGCAGCCTCCCAAGACAGTTAAGTGACCCATTTGCTGAAACATAGTAACAAAGTTACAACATGTACATTTGATCATGTCATCACCTGCAGCCATATTTTAGTAATAAAAATGGTCATCCTCCTCCCCAGGTTCTTATGATCCCTTAGGGTTCCTTTGGTCTTGGGGAAGCCTTTGGGGTCTGCAAGACTGGAGAAAGTCTTGAAAGTCTGCAATTTGTTGCCCCGAAGCTAAGACTGGCAGGAGAGATTTTCAGACATTCAAGACATTCTGTCCCTGTCCTTCTGCCCAAAAAGTCTTCTCCGGGATTAAAGGGATCCTAAAGGAGCCTAGGAAATGAGAGGGGAATAGGAAACTTTTAATTACCAAAGTACGGGCATGGCTGATAACATCATCAGTGTAACTGTACACTACAGTGGGGTCTTGACTTGAGAACTTAATCCGTATTGGAAGGCGGTTCTCAAGTCAAAAAGTCTGTAAGTCAAGTCTCCATTGACCTACAGTGCATTGAAAACCGATTAATCCCGTAACAGGCCGTTTTTGTTCCATTTTGGTTTTTTTCTGGTGTGTAAGTCAAATCTCAGTCTGCAAGTCAAACCTATATTTTGCGGCCAGAGAAGTCTGTAACTCAAAAAGTCTGCAAGTCAAGCCGTCTGTAAGTCAAGGGTCCACTGTACTAGATTTCAGCCATTGAGCCATAGCTTCAAGAAGCAAAGATGTGTGGCTCTCAGACATTAAGAGATGAGGGTTACAGGGGTGGATTACTCTAAAAAAAGTTATCCAGTGTCTACATTGTTTCTTTGATTCTTTTTTGCAGAGCAAAACTGAGATACGTACTGTGACTGGCCTGGTGTTGTTGATGAAATCTTAATCAGTTCAAAGAGACTTACAGTGGTACCTCGATTTACAAACTTAATTCATATTGGAATGGTGTTCGTACATCGAAAAGTTCGTAAGTCGAGGCAAACTTTCCCACAGGAATGCATTGAAAACCATTTAATCCATACCTGCTGTTTTTCGTTCATATGTCAAGGCGCTGTTCGTAGGTAGAGGCATTAGTTCCCATAGGAACTAATGTAAAGCCGGTTAATCCATACTCTACCACTAGGAGGAGAATTTTTTATTTTTTCTTTCTTTTGAACTTAGGTCAAAAAAAGGGCAGGAAAGGGGGTTTTTCGTCCATAAGTCGAGGCTGAGGCTCCATTCGCAAGTCGAAGCAACTTTTTCTGGTACCATTATATGTTGGTATGTTGATGATGTTCAAGATTCTAGAACAGGCAAATGAGACATTTTTTATGTAAGGATATAATGAATTCATAGATTTCTGAAGAATGTACTGTATGTTATATACAGAAATTGAAGCAGCTGAATATGCTGCTGTTTCAGGATTTCTCTCTTTATCTCTGTGAAATATATTGATTGGAAATATATTGCTATTTTGCTACATTTTTTCTCCCTATACAGGTTATTGGGAACTACTATGGAAAGCAGGGACAGCTGGAAATGTTTCCAAATGTGAAATACCCCTGGGAACACAAACTGAGAATAGATGACAGCCGAAGTTCGGAGCAAACAAGCAATGCAGCATGCAAATCATGTAAGTACAGTGCTGTTAACTTGTGCTTTCTAAGCCCGCAACAATGGCTCTCCCAATCCATATTGGGAGACTGTGCTTATTCTTAAAGATGGTTCTGTATCTTGACAGCAGTATTACTTTTTTGGGGGGGGGAAATCTTTATTTTATTAAATGAAAACATATTATATAGAAACAAAAGAAAAAAAAACAGAACAACAAACAAATAAAGCACAATAATTATACACAAACAAATTGAAACAAAGTGCTCCCCTCACCAGGACCTATGGAGAACTAGACCTTTTCCTTTATTTCAAGGATTTCCATTCCCCTTCAAAAATTGTAACATTTCTTGTGATGGTGCTCTTTCCTTCCCCTTTATTAATACATAATCAATAAAATCTTCCCAAATGTCTGCAAAAATATGCCTTTTAAGCAGTCCTTTCTTTAAAATTACAAGGTAATTTGTCATTGATAGCTATATTCCATAACTCTGTATACCATTCACTTAATTGAAAATTATGTTTTATTTTCCAATACTTGGCTAGAATTAATCTAGCAGCTGTGACTAAATTAGAAATTAATTCTATAGTTGCCCAATTATATTCCACCTTATCAAATATTGATAGAAGTGCTATCAATTTAGGAGATACTTCTACATTTTGTTCGGTTATTTCTCTTATTTCCTCAAATACCATTTGCCAAAATCCCATCACACTCTCGCATTCCCACCACATATGAAAATATGTGCCAGTTTTCTGGCATCCCCTCCAGCACAACATAGAGTAATTTTTATTTATTTGATTTAGTTTCCCTGGAGTTAGATACCATCGCCAAACAATCTTACAAAAATTCTCTTAAATTCTTATAGACATGGATTTCACTATTTTTACATCCCATATTTTCTTTCATCTCTCAGCGTTTATCACTGCCCTCATATCATGTTCCCATAAAATGCTCAGAGGGTCCTGTTGATCCTCTGCTTCAATTAATATTTTGTAAATTTTACTAACTGTACCTTTCAATGCTTTATTTTCTTCTAGATTTTCCTTTTGTAATAACATTTCCTTAAACTTTATAACTTCCCTATAATTACCATTTTCCCTCAACCAGTCTTTTGTCCAACTCTCTAATTGCATCACACTGAACCATGACAATTTATCCCATTCTAATATGGTTTTTATTTGCTCTTTACTCCTCATCCTTTCTGCCCAATCCTTTAATCTAATTACTTGCTGTCCTTTTAATGCACTCTCTAGATTTTTCAGATTCGTAGGAAAAGTTTCCAGTTCAGTCACTGGACATAATAAATAAAATAAAAATAAATAAAAATAATGGTGATATTAGTGGACTAAGCATATTCTTCTACTTATTCCAAATTAATAACATGTTTTTCAGGAAAGGATTGCCAATTATTTTCCCTCTATTTTTATTGTATGGTTCGAAAATAATATTCTCAAAATTCAGATCTAGCTCAACTGACTCCAAACTCCACCATATTCATGTATTCTCGAAGGCTTTCTTAGCCGGCATCCGATGGTTATTGTAGGTTTTTTGGGCTGTTTGGCCGTGTTCTTAAGGTTTTTCTTCCTAACTAGTCAACAGACACTACCCAGCCACAAGGACCGGTGATCACTGCACACAAAAGACCAGCTAATGACACCCATCAATCACAGTGACAGATCCTCTCTCACCTTTATCACAACAATACACCCACAACAAAAACACGCTGATATTGAATTTTCCCCTGAATAGATATTTTTCTTCCTTATTATAATTAAACATCATTATCTCTGATTTCTGCCAATTTACCTGTAGCCCAGTTATCTCTCCAAACTCTGCTAAATGTAATTTTACCCTATCCATCACTCTTAAGGGATTTTCTATTGATAAAAGAGTATCATCTGCAAATAAACTAATTTTAATCTTGTCATTGGTCCCTATGCCACAGATTAAATTATCTTTCCTAATAGCATTCGCTAAAATTTCTATAAGTATTGTGAACAAAATTGGGGAAAGGGATCATCCAAATATCCAAGGGATATTTGTTCCATTAGACCAGTGGTTCTTAACCTTTGTTACTCAGATGCTTTTGAACTGCAACTCCCAGAAACCCCAGTCAGCAAAGCTGGTGGTGAAGGCTTCTGGGAGTTGCAGTCCAAAACTCCTGAGTAACCCAAGGTTAAGAACCAGTGCATTAGACCATCATTTACAATAATAGATGCAGTTTTTGCTGAATATAACTGACCCATCACACCTCTAAAATATTGCCCCAATCCTAATATTTCTATTATCATATTCAATGATGGCCATTCCACGCAGTCAAAGGCCTTAAAATATCTAACACAATTATACCAGCTTTCAACTTTTGTTTTCCTATTACATGTATGATATATGTAGAAGTCTTCTCGTCAAATTGGCCATTTGTCTCCCTACTATAAAGCCACACTGATCCTCTTTAATATACTTATCAGTATACTTATTCATCCTATCTGCCAATATTGCAATAAATATGTCTGCATCTTGATTAATTAGAGAAACAGGTAGATATGCTTCCGGGTCCATTAACCCTTTATTCTTTTTTGCTATTAATATAATGAATGCTTCCATGATGCTGGGATCGCATCTTCCTTCATTATATTATTATAGAGAGTTTCTAATTTGGGTAACAGCATTGTTCTGAATGTCTTATAATATTCTGGCCCTAACCCATTAGCTCCTGGTGTTTTTATCACATTTTAACTTGTTAATTACTCTTCTATTTCTTCCTTTATTATAGGCTGTGCTCTTAAATCTCTATCTCCCTCTTGGAGACTGGTCCCTAAAATGTTCTCAACATATGTAATTCCTCACACTTTCCTTTGTGAGTTTGCCCTCTGTACATAATCTTTAATAAAACTCTTGTAAAACTGTCAATTTTTCTTTCCTGAAGTTGCATGTTTTTCCCTTTCTATCCTTAATTACTTCTATAGGAACCTTCAACTTCTTGACTTGTATAGCTCTGGACAGCAATATTACAATTTGCCTTCATCAAACTTTTTAACGTTCAGTCCATATAACTTTAGGCAATTTTATGGGTAGTTCATCTTCATAGGTGCCAAACCAAGAGTGTGAAGCATCAGCCAATTAGATATGTGCAAATGGTGTATTATTTAGTGACAGTAGCTTCATGATATCCCTGTTAGGGGAGGGGTCCCAAATCCCCAGTCAGCAAGCCGGTGCCGGTTTGTGTCCAAGGCAGGACCAGGCCACGGAGACAGATCTCTCACCACCCCCCCGCACACACTCCCCCGCATGCAAGGCCTGCCACTCGCATGCATGGGTGCCTCGTCCCTCTGTGAGCATGGCCCACTCTCCACGCATGTGCCCAGGCACGCGCCCTCCACGAGCATGCCTCACCCCTCCGCACATGCATACGAGTGCTCCCCACCCTTCCAAGAGCACACCCCACCCCTCTGCACATGCATGCAAGTGCCCCTCGTGGACCCCACCCCCCAACCAGTCCACAGTTCAGAAAAGGTTGGGGACCACGTGAGTTTCATTGTCTTACTGGTATCTAAAAAGCATCCTTGGCTTTTAAGGGTCTAGTGAGCTAGAGGTGATGATGTAGTTGAATGTGATGTGGAGGCATATACTGTATTTTTCCGTGTATAAAACAACACTTTTTCCTAAAATCATTAGAGGAAAAATTGAGGATCATTTTATAGATGGAAGGAGGCAGACACACATATCTCTTGCTGCCGCCGCTACTGCTGCCCAATTACCTCTTCCAGAGCTCACAGCTTGTCCCCTCCAGTGGCCAAGACAACAGCAGGAGATGGAGGCGAAGGATCAGTCACACACACTCGGTCACCTCTCCTCCAGTGGCCAAGACAACAGCAGGAGACGGAGGCGAAGGATCAGTCACACACATTCGGTCACCTCTTGCTGCTGCCTCCCCCGCCTGCCAGATCACCTCCTCCAGTGGGACTGATGGGACTCAGCTCACATCACCACCTTGTCCCCTCCGGTGGCGGAGGCAGCAGAAGGCGGAGGCAAAAACGCAATCTTGTGCGCTCATGCACTTCTTTCTGCTGCCGCTGCCGGATCACCTCCTCCAGCAGTCGTTTCCTTAGGGCAGGGGACAACACAGCAACATGAGCTGGAGGTGAGCCCCGGCAGTCGCACTGGAGGAGGTGATTGGGCAGGCAGCAGAGGCAGCAGGACCAGGAGACGAAGATGGAGGAGCAGTTGCCCATTAACTGCTCCTCCACCTCCATCAAGGGTCAAAATTAGGGGCTTGTTTTATACATTGGGGGGTCATATACACAGAGAGATACAGTTAAGAGTATACAAAACAGTTCAGGGAATAAATTATAGTGCCTGCAGCTGTGGTATATAGCCAAGTGTGTCAGTGCAGTTGGCTATCAAACTAGAGATTAGGAGTTTGAATCCTCACTGTGCTTCTTGGGAAAACAATCATCCTGTGGGGCCTTGGGCAAGTGCCATACTCACATAGCACCACTAGAAGAAGGGAGCGACAGATCACTCCTAAGTACTGCAAACTGAGAAGACCCCAGGAAAATTATTGTAAGTCAGAAATAAGCCTGATGATATTATTCAGTTCTTCAAAAACCCTCCAGTTTATCAATGTGGGATATTGTTAAACTGTGTCCACAATTAAAAGAGCCTGAGAGGCATAATCAAAACACTGGTAGACTGTGCAAATCGGAACTGAGAAGCTCAATTACTCAGCACCCAACTCAACCATCTGAATTGGGCCTTACAGGCAAATGGATATTCCAAGAATGAAATCACAAGAGCTACCAAACCGAGAAAACAACACCAAACTGAAGAAGAAAAACCACCCACAAATAAAGTATTTCTACCGTACATCAAAGGGGTCACGGACCGCATGGGGAAACTATTGAAAAAACATAACCTACAAACAGTATTCAGGCTCACCACAAAAATACAACAAATGTTACGGCCAGCAAAGGACAAAAAGGACCCCCTCACTACTGCAGGAGTATACCAGATAACTTGCAGTTGTATCCAGTTATATATCGGGACCACAAAATGCAGCATCTGCAGCAGAATCAAAGAACATGAAAGACATTGCAGACTAAAACAACCAGAAAAAATCGGTAGTAACTGAACATGCCCTGAAACAAGCTGGACATTAAATTCTATTTCAGAACACAGAAGTACTGGACGACACCAGCAATCATTATATTAGACTATATAGGGAAGCCATTGACATCCACAAACAGCAACAAAGCTTCAACAAAAAAGAAGAAAGTCTAAAACTCAACAAAGCCTGGCTCCCAGCACTGAAAAATACAGCCTGCAAAAAGGTCAATGAACTCTACCCAGCCACAAAGACAAGTGATTACTACACACAAAAGACTTGCTAACAACCTCCATCAATCACAGTGACAGATCATCTCCCCGATTATCACAATACACCCATAACAAAAAACACCCTGATCACCATAATCACCCCATCTCCTGAAAAGAACAAAAAGATGATCCCACAGCTACAAATATTCAACTATCCCAGACACTGCACCAAACAGACATAGTTCTAACTCCTGTCCTCTGAAGAGGGTGGCCATAGAGACTGGTGAAACGTTAGGAAGAAAAACCTCCAGAACACAGCTAAACAGCCAAAAAACCCTATAGCAACCATCGGATACTGGCATGAAAGCCTTCAAGAATACAAAGATGAATAGCATCTGCTTATTGGTATCTTTGAGAAACAAAATTTTTGATTCTTTGAATGTATTTTATAACAGAACAGGCAACATCTGAATGGTTGGGAATCCTTGCTTCCCACTCAACCACCCCCAGTGTTTGGTGGACTGTACCACAGCTTCTCAATTTTCACATCTCTCAAAAATCTTGGGAGAATCATTTGCCATTTAAATGCAACACATATATCCTGGCTAGTCAAAATTAGAAAGTGGCAGGCTGGTCACTTACAGTTTCTTTAAAAAGGCTAACTCTGGGTTAAATAAGGCTTGAAGGTAAAATTACATTATTATTATTATTATTATTATTATTATTATTATTATTATTATTATTATTATTATTATTATTATTATTATTATTATTATTATTATTATTATTATTATTATTATTATTATTATTATTATTATTATTATTATTATTATTATTATTATTATTATTATTATTATTATTATTATTATTATTATTATTATTATTATTATTAATTTATTTATTTATTTACCAAACAGAAATTGTCAGGGTTGCACATCATATCCAATTTTTTGCACCACTGCAAAACCATACACTAGGGGACCCATGATTTCTTTGGTGTAGTGTGTGGGCAGATGGGCACTTTAATTGGATAGTGGCTTGGGATAATCCTATGTAAAAATCATGTGGATCCAACAACTGCTGGATAGCTCAGTAGTTTAGGTCCCTGGCTTTGAAGCCAAAGGTCTTGAGTTCAATTCCCACTGTGCCTCCTTGTCAGAGACTGGAATTGAAGATCCTTAGAGTCCCTTCCAGCTCTGCAGTTCTAAGGTTGCTAATGTTATTGTCCATGCCTTAGATCAGTGTTTTCGGACCACTGCAAAGCCAATGTGCCCAGGGAACCATGATTTCTGTGTTGTAATCTTTGAGCACAAATGGGGCCTGTGTCTGAACAGTCGTTGGGGATGATCCTACATAAAAATCATGTGGATCCATGAAGATCTGTGCATCAGATCCATGTTTTTGCACCACTGCAAAGCCATGCTTTTAGAGACCCATGATTTCTGTGGATCACAGATGAGCCCTATGATTTGATAGTGGTTTGGGGATGATCCTATGTAAAAATCATGTGGGTTTGTACTTTGGATGCATGTTTTTGGATGCATCCATACTTTGGATGCATGTTTTTGCATGACTGCAAAGCCATGCACTGAAGAACCCATGAGGATCCCATATGTTGTATTCATATCTTTATACCATTGCAAAGCCCTGCACTGGGGAATTCATTACTTCTGTGGTATAACCTATGGACACAGCTAGAGTCTATGAGTGGTTTGGGGAAGATCCTGCACAAAAATCATGTGGATCCATGAGCATCTCTGACTTCTATTGGTGTTTTGAACCACTGCAAAGCCATGTGATGATATGACCCATGATATCTGTCTTGTAGTCTGTGGGCAGAGATGGGGCTTATGATTGGACAGTGTCTGGGGGATGGTCCTACAGAAAAACCATATTGATCCATGAGGAATTGTGCTTTGGATCCATATTGATAAGGAAAAAACCTGCAAATCATTCTAAAGTAATTCATAAAATTTTTTTGCCTTTCTCTGAAAATCATTTCCAAGTTGGGACATCTCTGTTGTAATTGTCAGTGAGTTTCAGTGGTTTGGAAACTTTTTTTTTCATTTACTAGTCTCAAACTAAATATAAAACACAGAGATACACACACAATACAAAAATAAATCTGGAAAGAGATTTGTTTATAATACATTTCTCAGTGATTCTGTGCAGTTCACTATATTTCTCTATGAACTGCTGTTGCTTACTTCTTCTTTCTAATTTTTCAAGCAGGTGGCCTAGGAGAATCAGCAGTTACAGGAATTGTTGTTGGTGCATTGCTAGGAGCAGGATTGTTGATGGCTTTCTACTTCTTCAGGTTGGTTCTGTTTTGGAAGAATGTGTGTCTGTCATCTTTAAGTCATGCAATAATGTAAGGTATTGCCCACCAGATATATTTTTCAAAAATAAGAAAATATGTTCCCTTTTTGTTTGTAACAAAAGATCAGTGAGGCTCATTTGCCCTTTGTCCTCTTTATGTGATCAATTCCAACTAGCATTGAGGCTACACACTTGCACAGGCAGTAACAGAAATTTGATGCAAGCTCTACCCAGAGGTTTCCCAGTGATTACATCCATGATCACAAAAATGGCTATCAGTTCCATCAACTACACATGGTTTTATTTCCCCAGCTAATCATCGCCACACATTTAGTGATGGAACTGCCACATTGTGGATAGAGTTACAGCTTGCATTCACAGAAGCTTAACATACACTCTAATGCATGCCAGAACCAGCCAATATATAAAGAAAGGCCCTTAGGACCCCATATCTTAGTAGGGCTCTTTAATTACACAGTCATCATAAGAGCATTCTAGTTTTCTAGAAATCCCCCTCCTTACTGGGTTATACGGCCTCCTAGAGATACAGCATTCCCCCTCCAGTCAGATATTCTGACTGGCTGTCGAGAGCCCTTTTTGGTCACACCACCATGTCTTCGCAAGAGACCCTGCAATGCTATTCAATGACAAATTTATCAGGCTGACATACAAAGGGTGAAAGAAGCATCACATACAAAGTTTGGAAGAAAGATTAAATAAAAGAGGAAAAATGAAAGAACATAAAACTTTTGTGTACCCCCTTATGTTAACACGAATGATGCATGTTTCAGAGGCTCACTTTTGGAAAACAATAAAAAAACCCCCACAAAAATGAAAATCTTATGTCTGTGTTTTTTTTCTTTCATGTTAATCTGAAAATCTCATCCCTACTAGCATTTTAATTGGATATGTAGATATAGTACTCTGTGTTTGGTATTGTTACATTTCTTAAAAGCTGTGATTTGAGGAATCCCTCAGTCAATTGGTTGGGGAATTCTAGGACCTGTTGTCCAAAATGTAACATTTCCTAGCTATGTATATGTTTGAGTATTTAGATGCAATAGGATTCTGCACAGGGCTTTAATGGGGGAGTAATGATTTAGCCAGAGATAAAGAATATAGTGAGCCAACAGGAAATTATATTTTGCAGTTTTGAAGCAGTTCTATTAAATGTTTGAGGGAGCTAACAGTTGAACAGTTTCACTATTTGTTAGTCTTAATGCCAAAGTATCAGTTGTGCTTTATACTGATTTCCTGATCATTGAAGTTTCAATATTTTAAAAGAAAAAGCAGTTTATCTGAGATATTTGGAAATAAGTTTTAGAGTATGCAAAAGTGCTCTGATCTTTTGGCAGCCATATTCTTCCATTTTATATGTCATAAAATATGTCCATCCTTGACACCCATTCTTTTGTGGAGCGAGTTCTTATCTGAAACTGTAGAAGGCATTTTTCTTACTCTATGCCACCCATTCCTTTTCTACAGGAAAAAATACAAAATAACTATTGAGAGGAGAAGTCAACTAGAAGAATACAATATTGGCAAACACCGACAGCTAAGAGAAGACTCTATACGGTCTCACTTTTCTGCTGCATGAACACATTGCTTCTGTGGGGAAAGTCTATAGACAAATCAAAACTACCAAAGACAGCTGCAGAAAAGAAGCTTATTAAGGACTCGTCATTCTAAAAGTAGAGTAACTTTGTCTTAATTTCTTTCAGAAACTCAGGAATTATTCACACACTACAGTATGCTGCATGGCTTTTTAAAAAAATCTCTGTGAAAGGAGAATGACAGTTCAGTTTTTATATTGGCAAGATGGTTTCAAAACTATTCTAAGACAGGTGATTCTGGTCAGCTGCTTTGTTTCTTGGAAATGTGAATGGTTCTTTGTGATGACTTCTTTTGAACTTCAGATGGTCCTTCATTGACCATTTCTTATCCCAGATCAGATTATCAAAAATATATATGTGATTTTGGAAAAGCAACTGCTATTTCATATCAGAAACATGAATATAGGTTGACCTGTGAGAGCAAGATACGAATGAGAAGTACATGGTGGATATACATTTGTAACTGGAATATAAGAAACCACAAGATTGAGTAAAGGGAGGCAATTCTAAAGAGCTATTTATGTGACACATTGGTTTTCAGTAAGCTTGCCATAGCAATCCTTATGAAATGATTTATTCACTGATAAGCTTGAGATTGATATCAACTGAGTGACTGTTCACAGGTGTGTCTGTGAAAAGAAATTTTGCTGAAGAGAAATTCTATTTACATGAATATTTTCATGGGATTTTTATTTCAAGAAGTTTCCTCCACTGCTAACATTTCCACATCCTATGTATAGGAATTCTGTCAGAGATCTCTGGGGTTATGCATCCATTGCTACATGTCCTTCTCTTTTGATTTTTTTAATGCTGCTTGCACAAAATGTTTGCAGAAAAGATTAGATATAGTCTATAAACAAAGTAGTATCAGATGGTTGAATAAGTGAGGTAATAAGGTGGATTTTCAACTTTAAGAGTACAAGTGTGTGGATAAGGGTGCCATTTGTGAATGTTCCCATATTTGTTTTAAAAGTTCAACAATAACAATATTAGTAATTTAGAGAAGATGTTTTAGTTAGTCCTCTCACTGTCTTGCTTGCTTTCTACTAGACTTTTAAAAATAGAATCTTTTTAAAAAAATCTCTTTCTTCTACCTGTACTTTGCAAATTATACCAGTCTTTCTATGAAGCCATTCCCATTCCATTTTGTTTAATTGTAAACCAGGTTGTGGTGGTGCTAGTGACTAGAAATGGGATAAAGCACCTTATATTGTACATCGATTGCTGTACATGTGTGTATTTATACACACATGGCAGAAGACTGCAGAAAGTTCAGATGATGGTCTGGCTTCCTCTCTGCCCTTCCTCATCCAGACCAGGTTCCTCTGCTGCTCCTTAAGTCTTTTGGTTACCACCACTGAAATTTAACCTGGTGAACAAGTTGAGAACCTTGATCTTTGTAGTCATGCATATGTGATGTCCATGCAAATAGGATAGTCCTAATGACTGCATAAAATAGCTGTTACTGAAAAGCAGGCGATTGCTCGGAGTATGTTCCACTGAAGCCTGTGGTGCTTAGTTCTGAGTAAATTATTACAAGATTGCCAATGGCTACATAAGATAATCCCTTTTAGGGATTCTTGAGTAGGATGCAAATATCCCACTGCCATCTTTGAGACCTGATTGGTTTAGCTATTGTAAATACTAGGTGTAGTGGTGCATTTTGTACAGTAAAGACAACTGAAAAGTTTTTTGTTGTATAAAAGATGACAGTTTGGGTTAACATTTTATTTTTAGGTATTTTAATCTTATATTTTTGTATTGGAAAATGTCTATTTTGGATTGTTTTATTTCACAATGGAAAATCAAGGTGAAAGCACACTTGTAGAGCTTTTTTTTCTCCAAGTGTGAATAATAGAGCATAGAATTTCTTAGATGTATATAACAGTAATATCTTTTACCATTGCCTATTAGGCCAGTCTTCCTCCTTCCCTTCCCTTTCTTTCCCCAAGCATGCCTCTCTGATTTAGTGGCCAGATTCTACTGATTATAAAGAAACCGAGACATTGTGCATATATTCCCAGTCTTTCTCTATCAAGATTTTTTCTTAATACATCCATCTCTCATCATAAGGTTATATGAATCTTTAGCAACAATAAGAAACTCTCTTAGCATTGTTGGCTATTCTCATGTTTTTAGTGTGGCTCTCTTGCTTCAGACTTTCAAGCTTTCACAGTCAGTTCCTCACTTCAGTTTATCTGCCAGTGACCATCTATACACTTGCCAGAAAAACCACCTCCTGCCAACCAGAGAGGCAGAGGTTGTGCTAGGCACACCTGTCCGTTCCCAGCATCTGTACACTTGCAAGGTTCTACCTCCAGCTGACACCTGCGTTTTCTGCTTTTCATGTTTCCCACTATTGAAGGTGGCAGCTCTATTTGGGTGTGGCCCCATCTGCCACATTCTTCCTTCTTTGGAGTGTACCACCTCATTGGCTGCTAACTCCAGCACGTATCCCATCACCAGCACTCCTAGAATTGTCACATACACTGTGTGTGTGTGTGTGTATGCAAATTTTGCTATGCTTTGATGAGGGCCCTCCAAAGTGTGCTATTAAAAAAATAGCCACTTGCAGGGCATAAGGGCTATTTCAGTAATAAAAACCATTTTGGTATGGACAAAAAAATTGAGGGAATGTAAGATCAGGTGTGGCCCTCCAAAGCCCATAGATGGACGTGTGAGAGATTTCTCTGGAGATTGCCCATACGGAGTATGTACATACAGAGTATGTACTCAGGTTGTGTTGAGCTCATTGCTATGATATGTGAAATGAATTGTGATCTAGAACTAGGGATGGGCAAGAAGTTTGTTATGCATTTTAAGGCAAACATACCTACTGTCGGTTTTGAACTGATATGCAGTAGAGTCCTCTGATTAAAAATTCTAGACAAAAATGCATATATAAAGAAAAGAGCACACAAATGAATATGTTAGTGAAAATTATGCTAAAATGTATACTACTAGGAAAATTCTTGAAAAAAATGTTCCTGTTGGGCAGATTTGCATATATATTTGCATGTAGTATGTGCAGTTGTGTACACTTTAAAAGTTTTTAATGAAATATATTTAATACTAAAAAAACAGAAATCAAAGCATACGTTTGTAGAGCTAAAATACACCTGTCTTCTCCTGTGGCTGTACATTGCAGGAGGAGATGGACAACCAGCTGTGTTTCAGGGAGGTTTTATTGTTCTTGCTGATCCTCTCCTGAGGAAACCCTGGAGATTTCCAGGCAACCCACATTATCTCAGAGAAGAGTTTGAAAACCACTGGGTTAGGTTGTAAGTAATCAGGTTTTCTTTTCAATAATCTGCTGCTGTTTCACTATCAGTTATTTTTAATTTCATGTTATTATTTTATTTTTATCAGCTTTCACAAACTGAGAATATACACTGTTTTTTTTTAGGATAAAATCTTTTCCAGGGATTTTTTTTTTTTAATCATCAAAACTTGTTTTACAGAAATGCATCATGGATCCCCATGAACGTAAACAGTCAGTTAAACAGAGCTATATATCACAGTGTTTTTTGGGACTAATTAAATTAAAGCAAATTGCTTTGTTCAGCTGAAATCAACAGATGCATTATTATCTAGATTGTTGTCATGTGCCATCAAGTTACTTACTGATCGACTTTCGTTAGAACTTAGTTTCTTGCCACTGAAAATATAGTAATGCTTTTTTTTTGCCTAATTGTTGTTCTTTGTTATAAACCATCATGTTGTTTCCAACTTAGGATGACTCTGATTGGGTTTTCAAAGTACTGTATGTGAAATGTTCAAGGAGTTTACCATTGATATCCCCTAGTGACTTTATATGACCATGCAGTAATTTGAATCTGTGGTGTCCTAAGTCTTATGGTATGACAGCACTGGCAAACTGAATTGGAGTGATTCAGCTTTGCTGAAGTTTGATTCTCAGACTGTTTTATGCTTCTGTTCGGATTAGGTTATCACATGAAAGCTGTGGATTGCTTCGGTGGGAGTGTCCACGCTGGCCCCTCAGTCATCAGATCTTTGATGCTTTAATCCATACCACAGTCCCCACTTCCTTTGGTCCCACCCCTGCTGATCCTCAGCTCTTCTTTTACGGTTCATTGTAAAGCCAGTGGGCTGTTTAAAGTGCTGCACGGCACTAGGAAAAAAGGACAGTTTTCAAAAGTTTCCCATAACATACAAGCACATACACACATACTATACCACAGAAACATAGTAGTCTGCTGAAAAAATAGAAGCTCCAACAACTACATCCACAGCAAATCCCACAGTATTTGGCCATATAGTTGCAGCCTTAGTCCAGTACTATTCACTACAACAAACTGGCTCTTGTGTGCTCTAGATTAGATTAGCAAAATCTACAAACAATAAAATACACTGAAATGTGATTTGGGAACGTAATAAGACTATAACTGCTCACATCGAGGCGGCTGAAAGATTTTAAAAAAAATTGGTTGGATGCACATTTTACTGAACCAAATCATACTAGAGGAAATTTCTAATTTTCCAACTTGATACAGCCCTTCAAGATTGCTCAGATTTTTACATTTGCCAGCAGAAATTGGACCAATGTAAAGTATCATTGCATCCACTTTACAATGTAAAGTATCATTGCATCTGTTTCTTTTTAGGTCTTTTGAAGTCAGAAAATTGGTACAAGCACAGTATATCTGGAGCCACATGGCGATGTCTGTATTAAAATACATGCCAGTGAAGTGCTGTACATGAATCATCCTTTAAAAATCTGGCTTCCAAATCTTTTTAAAGACATTATCTTACCTGTTTTGATAGTACAGTAAAGTAGCATACAGCTCTTTAAGTTCAGTCAGTCAGTTAGGAGTCTGAATTAGGAATGACATGATCAAGGCTTGCCAGAGCATTCCCTCACAGCTTTTGTGTTAAAAATGAACAAAATACCTTGATGAATTTTATGCTAAACTTTTAATGCCAAATCTCAAATTTCATTTTACAGTCTTAGAAATACCTATGTAGTAACCCATAATTTAACTTCTTTTTTTAAAGGTAGTTGCTAAGTTTGATGAACTACAGCTATACAAATCACTTGACTCTGTAATATAATAGTGTGAATTTAATTGACAAGCATTTATTAAATTGTCATCATACGGCAGGAAGTGTCTCCCTGTGAAACTTCTGGGTATTATTCATGCATATATCATACAAAGTCCACTACACTACATGAAGGTGATCTGTTTCCAGAGCCAACAGAAGAAGTGTATGCCTTATCTAACCCCCTACTGTTGCAGCATGTTTGAGTAAGGACTGCACTATCCTTTGTGCAGTCCAATCCTCAATGGACAGTGAAGGAAGGATGAGAGATCTTTAAAATTAATGTGTGTGTGATTTACAAGCAAGTCCTTTGATAAAACATGGAAATTTGGCTAGTAAGTGTCACTGGAGGAAAGATATTTTAAAATATTAATAACATTTCTGAAAACTATTTGAGTATCATTACAGTCAAAAGACATTTCCAGGCAAACTTCAGTGAGGATGAGGATCTTAATCCTTGTAGATTTTTCTCTAAAGAGAGCAAGGAATATAAATAGATAAATATATCTGGTTAAAGAATCCTTGCAACACTTTGGAAAATAAAACTAAAACAAAGCTTTCTGTATCCAGTAAAGTGTTATGTAGATACTTTTCCCCTAATAAAAATATCTTTATTCCAAGACTATCTTCAGTTCTTTGGGCATGCAAACATTTAGGAGAGTAGAAATGGTTTCTAAGGGTGCTGCTTTAAAATTTTACATAAACCATTAATCCAAATGTTATGCAGCAAGAGCAAATTACACTATTAATGTTATTGCTGAAATTCATATATTAAGTTGTGATACTTATATAATGAAGCTCTACAAGGTACTGCAATATATTAAAGATCTAAAATGCATCCTTGGTGTTTCCACTGTATAATTTTCCCTAAAGGACATATGAAAAGAAAGGAAATAGATCCAACAGAGCATTTTTGAAGAGGTTTATAACATACTGAAATATGAACAGTGTCCCAGACGTTTTTAACTAAAAGCCATTTTACTTCCTCTTATTATTTCAAGTGGCTCTTAGACCACATGGCAATGTTTATATCAGTCTAACCATGTGGCAGTTGATATATGCTAGAATAATCATTACACTGTCTTAATGCTGGGTTCTCCTGAACAGCAGCATGTTAACTTATTACAAAGGAGTTCTGAAAAATGAATGGAAGCTATTCTAGCATGAGTGCTTCAGGACTTTGTTACAAAGTCATAGCCTGTGCCCTCTGAAACTTACAATGTTGTGCCAACAATGAAAGAAACATGTTTTAATTAAGTAAAAATAATCATGAGGCATTTTTGCATTCATTTTTAGTATCATTCGTTGCTCGTGTTCCATTTTGACAGTTGCAGTTTATACATGCTTAAATAAACACAACCATGAACATTGCCTATGAGAGTAACAAGGCCAGAGGGACTGACGGCTAGAATAACTGGAATTAGAATTTCACCACTGTGGGACAAGTGCCAGACTAAACATTCCAGTTTCAGTAGCATTCCAAAAGCCATGTCTCACAGTGGCCACAGTCAAGAGAAATTAAGTCTATGTGCACATATGATTCACATTTATGCCTCCGGGCATTTTCTTTTGAATTCCACGTGTCCGTTCCCTATGGGACAGTTACAGGAGCTCTTCAAAAAAACTACACAGTCCTCAGATCTCATCTCTCTACTAGCATATCTGGTGACTGCTTTTACCAGTTTTCTACCAACAACAAGAAAGGAAGGCAAGAGGATAGAAGTATTTGCGAGGCTCAGATACCATTGTTCTGAGCTCTTGCACTGGCTCAGAAAGTTGTTCTGAGGTTTCCAGCTTTTTCCAGGAAACCTCGGAAAATTCCTGAGCCATGCAGAATTCCTCAGAGGATCTATCGATACCTAATTAGGAGCAACTGGACAGTATGTGTACTACTTGTACGTTCACAGGTGCATAAACCTTTCCCATGTTTCAAAGGTAGTTTTGAGAGGCATTCCTGTGAATAAGAGTTGTGATGCAGGATGAAGCCCTCAAAATGACATCTACAAGCTATTTAAACTGCTTTTTGTCCCACTAATTTAAATACATAAGATAAACACATAATCTCAAGTGGCTTGTAATCATGCTGTGTTGCAACCTAGGAACAACCTACAGATTGTAGCTGCACCAATCTGCTTGGATTTTACTGTACTGTATATGCTTTTAAACAACTGCTCAGAGTTTGTCACCATACGCATCTAGTTTTTTCCTAATAGCATAGCAACATAGGCCTACAGTTTTCCTTTTTAAAATCATTTTGTGGAACATGTCCCTAACTCTACCATTGGTCCAGAAAACAAATACATTTTGGTGAAAAACGTATTTTAATTGATTCCTGTGTGACATACATAGTTTTTAGAAAATTAAAAGGGCTCAGAACAGAGTCCTTTTATGGAATTTTGATTTGGTCTGCTTCTCCCCCTTCATTATGGGCAGTATTAACAATGCTGAAAAATATACTGGATAATCTAGAGGCATAATAGTGGTTTGGTTTAAAAAATGGAAAGCTGCACATCTATTATACTGAGTACATCTCTTGTACTGATGTAAGTAGAACTATTTGCATATGATGTGATTTTATTTATTGTACTTCTGTAGAGATAGAACTCATGACTGTGGATTTATTCTTTGTGATTTATTTTTATTTCTTGTATAAGTTCCTCATTTAAAATATTAATTGGTGCCCATTGATTAATAAATGTGTACAGTTTCAACTAATAGATTACCATATTCCCATGTTACAACAAAAGGCTCCCATTAAACTTTAATGATTAAAGAGACTAATCTATATATTCGCTTAGTAGTGTGTCTGCATGATGTGAAGATTTTTGTTCTGCATCTGAGTAAATGTCCATAACATCCGTGAAATGCAGTTGAACATCTTACTCTACAGTTCCATGCATGTTTACTCAGACATAAGGACTGCTAAACATAATGGGGCTTACTTCCAGATACAGGGTTGTAGCTTAATATGGTAATAACCTGTTGTAAAGGTAAAGGTTCCCCTTGACATTTTTTAGTCCAGTCGTGTCCGACTCTAAAGGGCGGTGCTCATCTCGTTTTCAAGCCGTAGAGCCAGCGCTTGTCCAAACATAGTTTCCGTTGCCATGCGCGCTTGTCCAAAGATAGTTTCCGTTGCCATGCTGGCCAGCGTGACTAGGGAATGCCGTTTTACCTTCCCACCAAGGTGGTTCCTATTTATCTACTCACATTTGCATGCTTTTGAACTGCTAGGTTGGCGAGGAGCTGGGACAAAGTGACGGGAGCTCACTACGTCGTGTGGATTCGATATTACGACTGCTAGTCTTCTGACCCTGCAGCGCCACCACGTCCCTAGTAACCTGTTTTAAAGAGATGGAGAAATTCCATCAGCTGTGAGACTATTGCTTTTCCAACATTACCCAAGAAATTCTCATTCACATAAGGAGTTAAACCTAGTCCATGCTAGAAAATATGCTAAACTTTAGATCACAGTGCCCATTATTGTTTGATGTCATGGATTATTCATAACAAAGATGGATGAATATTCTCTCAATACCATGCTAGCCTTGTTCCGAGACAACACAAGGCAAGAATTGTGAGCAGATTGATGGTGGCTTGAAACCAGTCTTATATTTATTTCATAACATAAGTATGTTGAACTTTTAGGAGATCTAAGTATTATTTAATATGTTCACACTACTATATATATATGATGATGATTAGGGGAAGGATTTCTATGACATGTCATTTTTTTTCCTGCAACCTGTGTTTGAGCTAATGGGTGGGTTTGAACATGTTTCTGAGCAATCTGGTGAGAAAGGCCAGATTACTCATAATCATGTTTGAACTTCCTTATCAGTTCAAACGTAGGTTGCAGAGAAAATACAAAATGTCACAGAAATCCTCCCACTAATTGATGCTTTTAAATTGATTTATAATGTTAATTTGTATAAAACAAGAATACAGGCATAAGGTGTGTGAACGAACATAAGAGCAGCAGAAAAAAGAGTTTCAAAAGTCAGATTCAAATTATCAAGACTTAATGTTGAATATAAAATTATTTGCCTAGCAAACAGGAAAATCAGTGCCGGGAGAATCTTCCTAGAGAGGTTGTTCCACTTGTGAGTCACGTGGCCAAAATAGGGCCCTCTCTTGTGGTAAAATGCCTCACTTCTAAGAGAGGAGATAGTTGAAGCAGGGTATTATCTGATTATATTATCTGATTATAATCAGCTAATATTGCCTTCTTGTGAAGGCAAGAGGAGAAGGGGAAGACAGAGGATGAGATGGTTGGATAGTGTCATCAAAGCGACCAATATGAATTTGACCCAACTCCGGGAGGCAGTGGAAGTGCTCTGGTCCATGGGGTCACGAGGAGTCGGACACAACTAAACGACTAAACAACAACAACAATTATCTGATTATCTTAATGCACAATCAGGTTGGTATGGGAAAAGGTGGTGATTCCTTAAGTACTTCAGTCCCACGAGCATTAGCATTTTGCACTTGGCTAAAAGTGGTGAGGTTGTTAGAAGGCACAAAAAGTGGTCCCATCTAGCAGTGAGAGTCAAAATTCTGGCCATTGCATTCTGTACCAACTGGACCTGCTGAACTGGTTTCAGAGGCGTTGCAAGCAAACCAAACGACAAGTTACCAAGACAATGGATAACTAAAACTTGACTATTTTCAGCAAGGGACACGGCTGATAAGTGAAACGAGATAATATTGAGGATCCCTGAGCTGTGAATTTGTTTCTTCAAGAAAAATGGCACTTTTCCCATAACTTTTTGGATTGTATCTCTCTGGACTGAAAAATCAGCATCTATCTGCAGGAACTTGTCCTTGCGTTTTTAATTTATCGGCCTTCATCCTTCCTATTAGTGAATCCAGGCATTCAGTGAACACCCACCACCTTAGCTGTCTCTCATATAAAGGAAGAATGGAATTAAGTAGCTACACTACTGGCACTTCATCCCAAGTCCTTGAGTAGGTGATCCCAAAGTGCTTCTGCATGCTTCATACAGATATTAAGTAAAATGGCTGAAAGACCATAGCATAAATGCACAGAGCAGGTAGACGCCCCTTGTTAGAGCCTTCTAGAAATGATAATATAGATAGTGAAATTCCCACAACACATCACCAGAACCCAGTTCGCCATGCTGATCTAGAAAGATTTTGCAAAACCTCCAAAGCAGCCCAAGAAAATCAGCAGAATTACACATCTTTCTGTCTTCCAATAAAGTTCTTCCACCAAAAATGTGTTTGTGTATAACCGTCCACCAACAGTTTTATCAAAGTTTTTATAAACTATTTGCTAAACGTGCTACCAAAATGATTTGAAGAGACCTTCTGGTTTTTAAAAGGGATCTCACAAAGTGCAATCTGTTCAGCCTAATGTTTGTTCCAAAAGAACTAAATGGAATGGGGTCAGGGCTCTAATTTTTAAACAAACAGAGGATCCAACACAATTCCATCAAGGCAAGACATAGATCCTTTCCAGAATTAACCCTAAGCAACACGAGGTGGGGCCTCAAGTGACCAAGCATTTCCTCCCACCAAATGTCATTTCTCTCCATTCCTGCACACAGAAGACATCCTCATTGAGACGGTGAGGCAACAGGCCAAATATAAATCCAACGAAAAGATCCTTAGGCAAAGGTGGGTTATTTTAACAGTCCATAAACAGTTTGGTATATAAAAGCTGCAATTTCAAGCTTAGAAATGTACTAAAGATTAAAGCAATCGTCCAGTTGGTCTACAAATTTCTTCCCCAGAAGCTTGCTGTTCCTTGAATGTTTATAGGTAGCCACTGGCAGGTAGGTCTGTCACGATGCAAGAATAAATATCTTAAAGGCTTCATTAATAATTCTCTCCAGAATGTGAGGCTCAGAGCTGGAAGACGTATCAAAGCATCAACAGCTTGAGGGCAGGGCTGAGGCTGACACTTTGCCTAGGTCAGGAATGTACTAAAAATTCGAGCTGACTTGCAGCTGGGGTAGGGAAACAATAGTTTAAGTAGGTCCAAAAAAATCTTGAAGTCTTCCTCACGGATCCCTTGTGGCATCAAGAAAACAAAATACTAAAAGCAAAATAACTCTGCGTGTGTCTGTGTCTGTGTCTGTGTGCGCGCAGCTTGTGCATGACCAAGCAAGACAGCTTTGTTTTTATGGTTTTTCTCCTAATTTTTTTCAATCTGCCCTTGTCTTCTTGTTTCTTTCATTATGTCGTTTTGCTGAAAAGCTGTCATATGATGGGGTAAAGGGGGTTCTTTTATGATCCACTATGGTCTGACTTGCAACACCTGGGCTTTTTAATTGGACCCACAGCAGTGCTCACTCAACAAAAGATAAAAGACTGATCCCTGCATTCCAAACACAGAAGTCAAATGTTTTGACACTACTGGTGGAACAATGTTTTCCACCATACCTGAGGACCACAACTTAGCTTAGACACACAGGAGAGGTCATATAGGAACCACAACTCTGTCGCTTCCTACTGCCCACCTTCATCTACCACCTGAGAAGTCCACCTTGTTTAATCTCGTGGTAGAGCTGTCTTTGACCCTCAAGAATTGCCCTTTCAATTTCCAAACTGAACTGGAGCATGTCAATGTTCTTAGCTTGATACACACACATATGAATCATTCATCGACAATAGGAGGACAATTTGTTAAAGAGAACCTGCTGAGAAGCCCAAATGGCATCAGTAGTAGGGGAGGCTTTTCCCCAGCTCTGCTTAGTACACCAGCTACAGTGTTTGCTAATCAGAGGTAATGTCTTTCAGTCATCTGTGCTCTAGTGACCTTTGGATTAGACTGTACAAGAGGGTGGCCTTGCAAAAACATCTCGAATTTTGAAGTGGTGCAAAGAAGTACAACCATATCATTGACTGCTGCCAGGGGCTTTGAAAATATTAATATTGTTTGAGTTATATTGATTGTCAGTGTATTTCTGGGCTCAATTCAAGATTCTAATGTTAAGCTTTCAAAGTCCTAAGTAGTTAGAGATATGTATATGTTGCTATAGAATTCCTGCCTGTACTGTACACTTGCTTTTAGATGATAAATAGGAAAGTCCATAAGGTGCACTTTCCCCAAAATGTGGTCTTTTTGGCAACATAAAATATTAAACTAAAACTAAAAATACAAAAAAATTCCAGCTTCGTTCCACCTTGAGCACTTGAAATGTGGTCCATAAATTCTAAGCATTACGTTGATGATAAATGAATGCTAAATAACAAAGCTAGAAAAATGTTGCCGAACTTCATTGCTAAGTCCACTAATTAAGTTATAAAAAGTCCTTTGGGTGTGCGGTTCCACTGCCAATAGCTAGACAAATTAGGTTGCCCTGAATATCCATTAAAATATCACTAGGGGTAACAGTAGATAGAAGAATGTCACATGTCTAGATCATGCCCAACATAGAACATACTCTTGCTGCTTGGGCTTTAGCAAGAGAACCCTGTGATCCCAGGGAAAAACACGCAGCTGCAAACATGCAAAACATTCAGACTGCTACTATCTGTAGAGTTCTTACTAATTTATGGTAAAAAAAATCCTGCTAAGATATCCTGTTTGTTTATTGTTATTAGCATAATCAAATTTTCTAAGCTTATTTTAAAAATATACAGCAAGCTGGACAAAAATACATTGCTTCATGCACATCACATATATCAAGCATTCACTTGTCTGACACTGCACAGACCAATCAGTCATGGCCAAGACTAGAAAATGTACAATAAAATCAGTTATACAATTGTACTGTCAGGGCATTGCTCTTGCAGATATACAGGAAGGGGG